TTTGACAGTTTGAAGCTTGAAATTGTGTTAGTACAGTCATTGTTCTTTGATTTGTTTTTTGTAACTTTCACTGGGATTTCATGGACAGGAAAAGGTAAAGACACTTCAAGCAGAGCCAAATTCATCCACAGTTCCGCCCAAGATACAAGGTAGACGAGGCCAAGCAACCGATCCACACAGTAGCTGAGAGAGTATTCGTGCATTTATTTTATTTTTTTATTTATTTTTTATTTTTTTCCTTGCAAGGTGTACAAAAAATTTGATGTTTGGTAACAAAATTTTTGAAATTAGAATGTGAGTATCGAGCCTTTTTTTCGGTTTTTGCAGTTGCGTCGGGAAAGAATAGCCGAACGAGTAAGGCCTTTGCAAGAACAAGTGCCCGGTATCAACAAGGTCATGCTTTCTTTCGTACTATTGTTTAGTAAGGCATCCAATGAATTTTGAAAAAACACAAATTCTTGTGTGAGGCGGTTATTCGGGTCGACCCGTCATACATTTGTAACAAAATGCATACTTATGTTATAAAATGTCATATATTTATGGTTATTTATAGACTTTTAGTATATATCATTTCGGTTGGAAGTATGCATGTTTATTGAAAAATGTATGATTGGATAATGTTATGCCTGCTTAACTTTGAAAAATTGTGTATGGTGATGGTTCTTTTGTCGTCAAGTGCATAGTTTTTTAGGTTTCTATACCTCGAAAGTCCTAATAGAATTTGTTCTCGCCTATTCTATTCTGTAACTTTTAATTCCAGTCACTGTTTTTAATGTTCACAGTACTGCATATGAAGATTTTAACTTTATTCCTCTTTGCTTGCCTTTATTATGTTAATAGTACCTTTTTTTTTTGTTGGGTTTTTGGTATCCACCAGTGTTTTTGTAACTTATGGGTGCTTTATTGATAATAATTCCTTTTTCCTGAATTATATTAACAATAATGCAAATATTAGCTATCTCTTGCATTGTATTGGCATTTTTCTGAATTCTATTTAGCAACTCTGTTGTACTGGTACACTCTCCAATACATTACAAAAAGACTGCTCATTCATTATCATTTTCAGTACTAAACAAGAAACAAAAAGATTATTTCTCCAACTCTAATTAAAAGATTATATATGCAGACCGATCGAGCAGTTATGGTTGATGAAATTGTGGATTACGTGAAATTCTTGAGACTCCAGGTGAAGGTATGCTTATATGATCTCCACTATATTTCCCCCCCAACTCGTGTTGCAAATTTTTATGAAGACACACCTTTGAGAGCTTGATTGTTGAATTGAACCATTATTTCAGTGGACAATAATTCGAAATTCAAGCATGTCTGTACTCTTTAACCTTTCCAAACTTATATGCTTGAAATGGTTGTCGGACAATATTGAAATTCTGTTCGGATTCTGATATGAGAGGAAGCAAATGATTTAAAGTCGGTGTTAATTATTTTTTTTCTATAAAAATCATAAATAAATAAATTGTTTATTTAATAAATTTCAGGTGCTGAGCATGAGTAGATCTGGAGGAGCTGGTAATGAGGCGCCACTGGAGATGGACATCCCAATATCATCATTAATAGAGGTAATAAAGAAAACAAGATATCTTCACTCGTTACATATATTTTGTTTATCATATTCTCATTCTTCGCTTATTTTTCGAAGAAATGGTCAAACGAAGATACCGAAAGACAAGTCGCTAAGCTTATGCAAGAAAATGTTGGAGCCTCAATGCAATTCCTTCAGTCAAAAGCACTCTGCATTAATGCCTGTATCTCTTGCTTCGTCGATATGCTACTCATCGTAGAACCCTCTTAAGCCTTCAAAATGACGTAAGTTTCTTTTTTTTTCTTTTTTTAAGACGATATCATTATTGTACTAGTAATATTTATCGAGTGTATTTGAAACATGAGACTGAATAAGTTGGAATGTGAGTTTCCCGTCGATTTCATTGAAACTTGGTCAGGTGTCACATTTACACCTTTTCTTCCGACTTTCTTTCCACTTTAGTAAGAGGAGGCTTGACAAAGGATTTGTTTGAAAATTGAAAATTTGAAATAATGAGAACGTACGACTAATGCCCTTTGCAAGATTCAATTGGAGAAGGAAATGTCAAGAAAAATTCGATGACTTGCACTGCATTTGTGTGTTAGCGTGAAATTTATGATTGTGGCATCATCGTATTGAAGGAGTTGTTTCCAAAAGCTATCGAAGTTTATTCTTTCGTGTCACCTAATTATTGTTTTGATTGTCTTGTAGAAAAAAAGGAAAAATGGATGGTTAATGGGTACTTGTGCTCTGATACTGAAAAGGGACCTTAACTCACAATCTGCAATGAGAAGATCTATTGTCAGAATTTTAACTTTAGATACATGAGCTATCTTTACTATTACAAAATGTTGATGTTTTGTTCTCAGCACAATTTGTTTTAATTTGTTGCCGCCTATCATATTTCAGTTGCAAGATATCATGAAATCAAATTATGCTGCCTTTTTTTTTTCACAAAAAGATAAAAAAAAATTTTGTAAGTAAAAAAGAAAAAATACACCGGCATGTGTATCAAGCATGCCCTATTCGTATCTGTGTATTGTGTTCACAAACATAAACATTGCATGTGTTATTTTGGTACTTTGAGTGCATAAATTTGATGTCCAAAAAAAGTAAAATTGTGTATACTTAACATGAAAATGTAGTGATTGTTTGAAAGCGTTTGTGTACAAGTTTATTTAGAAAATGCAATTCACCGGAACTTTGTAACTATAAACTATAAAGTGAATCTCTCATATAAATATCGTAATACAAGTGTATATTAACCATCTTCACCTATCCAAAATTAAAAAGAAAAATTATACGACAAAATTACACTCAAATACAAAGGTATAGCTATTCACTGCCCCCCATTACTAGTTACCGTCATCTTTGGACGATTTTGTCATTTTCATTTTTTCCAAACATCTCAGAGCAAAGTTTACGATGAGATGTCTTTAAAATCCGAGGTATGAATTTTTACCGTCCGGCCGGCGAAACCGTACGGCTTTTAGACCGTCCGACCGCCGGAACCAGACGGCTTTAAAAGCGTCCGGCCGGTCGAACCGTACGGTAAAAGCGTACAGTATTTTTGGCCGGTCGGACGAGTGTTGTCCGAACCGGCCGGCCGGACGTGTTAAAAGACGTCCGGCGGCGACTGCCGGTCGGACCGGACCGATCTGACCGGCCGGATAATTTTTTTTTTTTAAAAAAAAATTATTATAAATTATATATATTCGAAATAATTATATTATAGATTGGACGTTAGATATTTTCGTGTTAGGGGTTAGAAATTATTATGTTGTACATTAGACTTGATTATCTTATAAATTGGACGTTAGATATTATCGTGTTAGGAGTTACAAATTATTATGTTACATGTTAGACTTGATTATGTTATGGACGTTAGATATTATCGTGTTAGGAGTTACAAATTATTATGTTACATGTTAGATTTGGTTATGTTTTAAATTGGACGTTAGATATTATCGTGTTAGGAGTTACAAATTATTTGTTAGATTTGGTTATGTTTTAAATTGGACGTTAGATACTATCGTGTTAGGAGTTACAAATTATTATGTTACATGTTTGACTTGATTATCGTATATGGTACCGCAAACACTCAGACCGGCTTGAAATCGGTTCGCTTTCCTCCTCCTCGCCGATAGAACGCCGCGTACCTGCAAAGAACTCTCACACCCGAGGGGTTTCCGGTGAAGAGCCTCCGATGCTTAAGTAAGTATGTGTTTGTTCAATTTTCCAAAGTAAGAGTATGAATAAATCGTAGAGGACAAGAAAGGCTCACTCCTATATATATAAGAGTGAGATACCTGCCCTAGGAGCTGCCCGGATCTGCTGAGCCGTCCTCCTAACGCTGCCCGTCCGTACACACACAGTGTGCGTGTGTCAGAGGTGGTTATCACCACTATCGCTCCGCACCAATGTGCTCTTGCCACGTGCCCCTTTGAATAGGGAATGATTATTCTCCTGCGCATTCCGTTCGGATTTCCTGACAGACTCCACGCGCTTTTCCGCGTCCCAGCCACGCTCTCTACTGCTCTTCACCCGTCGTGTACTCGAACTGATCGAGCACTATCCGCTAGGTCGATCCTCGACCAGACCTACTGTCCTGCTCGAGCGCTGTCCTTCGGCCTACTATTGTTCGACCAACGTGGTCTCCCCGTTAAATTTATGATAATGAAAGAGATATTTCTAGGATACACTAATGTAAGATGAAATAATTATTTATGGTTGATTCTAAGACCATTATGTTTCTAATTTTTTTATCCGAACCTAAATATGAAGCATAATAATTTGACAAGTATGATTGTAAAGCGTGCGAGTCCGCCACTAAGACTCATCACGTTTTAAATTAATATATAGCCACTAAGACTCATCACGTTTTAAATTAATATATAGGTGGATATATATACAGTTTTGATTTAAAAAACATAACATAATGCAGTTGATTGTTGATAATTATAATCTTGGTGTACAAAATATTAAACGTAGACGCTCGTGCTCATGTTTAATATTAAGGTTATGCTCATTCAGATTTTTCCAAAACCTACGTGGATAATTTTAGAGTAGTGGTCCCAGTCTAAAAGCCATTTATAATTCTTTTGGACTCGACAGTCTCCACTACATGTTCATCTGCTCGCCGATCTAAATTATTGTTATTTTTTCAAAAATGGCTAAACAATACAAGAAGTATTCAAACATTGACCACCTCATTTAAACATTTGAGTGATATCATGTCCCACAGCCTCATAAGCAGAAAGATGAAGAAAGGAGAGACATAAAAAACAATCCACAAAATTAAGAGTTAGGAGAAAAGGCATGTATAACATATATTATTTGGCAAACTAGTCAACATATATAAGTTGACATGAACAACACTAGAAACAGAGACATGCAACTTTAAATAAGCTCGAGGAACTGCAGTCAAAGTCGGAATGGGAAACTAAAGATGCATTACTGGACAACCAAAGATGCATTTTATAAACAATTGCATTTGAAGAAAAAGAAATACCAGAATGGGAAACCCAACAACAATCGCCCCAGCAGTACTGACAATGATGGCCAAAGCAGTGAAGACCAAAGAACTGAATGCATCAGAAACCATACCAAGGGCATAGGCACGGGCATCCGATGCACCTCCAATCATTTTAATGGAGACAAGCAGGTAATTCAGAGGTGGTGGAACATGAATGTAACGTCCAAATGAATGGAACACAACTCTAACCTCCAGGCAAATAACGACTACTACCAATATCAATGCACCATTTAGAAGCCGGATTTTCTGCAGCTGGTGCTCATTCCTAGTGACCCACCACAGACCTCCTTTGGTAGATGCATAAAGTTGGAAAAGAAAGGGAATGCAGAAAAGGAGGAGCAAATCACAAAAAGCAGCGCTAGATGAAAACATCACCGAATAGTGAAAATCCTCTGGTACCGCGCCTCCATGGTAACCCAATTCATGCTTTAGCTTAATCGATGATACACGGGGAATCGATTACAGCCAATAGAAAATGCAATTAAAAAACCATGAGATAGTAAGCAGCATTAATTGTTCATACCCACTGCAGAAACAGTTGCACAGGCGAACAAGAGGCGTCCAAGAACAAGTACAATGGTGGGATATTCGATTTGCATCCATTTGAAGTGAAGTGAAAGTGTGAAACCCAAACCCCAATCAAGAAATTCGACAGTGCACAAGTGAAATCAGCAAGGACAGTGAGTGAGATGTAACTGACGGTATAATTAAGCGATGAGCTGAAAAAGAAGATCAACTGTGCCACGATGAGGGAAAACCAGACGGCGAAGGAGGAGCCGGATTTGAAGTTACGAGAATCGAGGATATAAGCAACCTTGAGGCCAAGGATCAAGGATTTCTGTGCTTTATGTACTATTATTATATGATTAAAGTGATGATATATAGTATGATTTATGAAGTGGGATTTGATTTTTTTTGGTGGTTTGCAGGAGCTCACCACATTGGAGAGAAGTACTATACATGAACTATGATGCAATCTCAGCATGGCAAAGATTCTCTCATGTTTATTAAAAAGAGAAAAGCTTTGTGTGTGTGTAACCCTTTTGCCTTTTTTCCATTTTGGATCATCTCTCCAGGTTTAAATATAAAAACGATGCTTCATGAATAAGGAATCCGATTCCACAAAATACAGATAGTCAGTTTGTTTAGTAATGGACTGGACCCTTGGTGCTACATTAGAGAATGTTGTGCATCTGATCACACACGGGCACGTTGGTGATACGCACAAATATCTTTTGATGGATTTTGCTGTAATTTGGATGAAACTGGAAAACAATCTTATTGGCAACTTCTTCCATAACCTCGAGAACCGACTGAGGAGCATCCACAAGCCAGATTGCAATGTTCGGGTGGGTATAGAAAATTTGTCTGTAATCAATCTCCAGACTGCACTTGTTAACTGCAGGTAAAAATGAATCAAGTTAATTCACAACTGAAAATGTCATAGTGGGATCACTGGCTGGATGAAACCATACTCAAACAACCTACTAAATTCACCCATATTAGGCTGTAAAAATAACATTTAAAATTTTCCAGGAGGATGTTTGTTACCCGCCACCATTTCATTTATCTGCCTTAGATACTCAAAGTCTCCATGATCAAATCTTGGATTCGCATAAGTAAGCAAGAAATCCTTGAATTTCTTGGCAATGAAACGCCTCACATCATCTCTCGTAACCCACTCGCTGAGGGTTCCTTGAACTCTATACATATCAAGCTCACCTTTCTCGTTCTCTTCACCCTATAGAGATAGCAGCACCTTTTATCAGGACATCCCTAATAATGCTTCTCGCATTCAGAATAGATTAAGCCATATATAACTGAAAAACCTACATCGTCCATATCAGTCATGGAGACATCTCTGAAGTTCCTTCCTTTTGATCTACCAGGTGAACCTCTAGTGATTATTGGCAGCCTGTCTTCATCATCATTGGTGTCTGAAATTAAGTATCTTGGTCATTTAACTTGGCAGTTAACAATTCACATAATAATAGCTTAAGACAAAATCAAAGACTATCAAAATGGTTTGCGCAGTTACAACATCATTTTTATTAGTTCGAGTCAGCAATTTTCCAATTTGGTTGTGACGAATATATCTCATGGGTGGACTCGGATAGCGAACATAGCCCAAGACTACCTCTAGATGTAGTTTACCCCATACCTAATTTCAAACCTCATTCTTATATCACCATGTGTTGCAGTTTTTTCTTGTGATCAGAACAACACTAGGGTCAATTGTCATGCAGCAATAATAATTTATCCAACTACAGAGCAGTACTTAAGAATCTATACATACAGGAAAAGTATACACTTTTCCAGCAAAACCACTGAATAATTTGACATAATTAAATGTCTCTCGAGCCTTGGTGTGCCCCACAAGATGACTATCCCTAGAACTTTTTCTTCAAATTTGTGAACAGAAGGGAGAAAAGGAACAATATACTCGTATTATGTATACCAAAGTACAGATCCAGAAGGGTGAGAGAAAAAATTAAAAAGGAGAGACCACCTTGGTCGTGAAGAATCTGGGGATACTTGCGGTGAGAAGGAGAAGGTTGTTTTGCATCGAGTTCGATCTCAGCAGCTCTGCTGTCAGCCATAATCTGGTCCAAAACCCTATCATCCTCCACGGAATCATCCAGACCCAAGGTTTCGTACTGGTCCTGCTTTCCCATCCTCCGGAAATCACTGCAATCAACGCACCATGAATAGTGGGAAATAAATAGCAATCAATTAATTACATAGCAGAAAATAAGATGAAACACCGACTTCATGAATTGGTCGTTGAAGAGGTCCTCTCCTTCTTCGTCGTCGATGTTGTCTTTTTCTTCATCTGTGATTATTTCAGCCTCGACAGACGCTTCGCCGTCGTCGTCCGTGTAAATTTGACTGGAATTCATCGGCAGCTGGTCTGAACTCAATGCAGCGGACGCAGGGTTCTCGTTCGCTGCCCCGGCGCCGGATCCGGGTAATTTATCGCCGTTGCTCGCCATTGTCACTCGCAAGGTCTCTGGTCACTGCGTTAGAGGGGGACGTGCTTCAATTAGGGCACCGCCAGACCACCATCAATATCTCTCTTATTCCACCCAAAATGATCGAGTCTAGTCCAACCCTATTCAAACCCCACATGGGCCTCAAATTCAATCAATTTTAGTAAGGGATGGATGTTGAAGTTGGTTAATGGACTGAACGGCTCTTTTGGGCCTTTTTTTTGTTTTTTTTTTCACCGGCTCTTTGTGGGCCTTTATTAGTTCTTTTTTTTGTTTTCCTTTAATTTTAATGCAATTTGGGTTTTTTTTATTTAATTTTTTTTATATATTTAATTCAATTTTATCTATATCACACTTTCTAATATATATGAATTTAAATTTTATCTACATCATGTATCAATAATTTATATTTTCTATCCTCTATTTTTTGCCTATAAATACACATCAGTTTATCACTTCTTTAGCACCATTTAGCATCTGCTCACTTGCGTAGAAAAAAATGGATCCGAATAATAGGCAAAATTTTCAAAATTTCTCAAAGTTCTAATCTTAGTAATGCAGATGAAATTCTATTCTTCCAAAATTCACAAACTCTGTCAAATTTGCCATTTTCATAATCTACTTATCCTGCACAATTTTTTCCACAAAATTATATTCGTAAAAGTTCAGAGCTGCGAGATAACACAATGCATCATCAACTTCGTGCCGACTTAGTTGACATATTTGGACTCATTCTGCCACCAACTAAAAAAGTTGTTTTTTTATTGTACTATTTTTTTTTTGTGTGTAATCTTAATTTAAGTTATTTTGGTCTTGTAGTGTTCTTTTATTTTCATGCGTTTAAAATTTATTATTATAATTTTAAAATATTAAATTTTTATTTTATTGAGAATAGAATATTAAAATTTATATTGAACGAGTGGATAATGGATCCCATATATGTATTTAAATGAACGTGTAGGAATGTGAGTGTGTGTTTAAATGGAGAGATTTAGTACAAAGATGATGTGGTGATAATGTGGATGAGAGAGTGTTACTTTTTAATTGAATGAATGGTATTTGTGTTATGAGTTGTGGATGCCTAATAGGTTGTTTCAAGATCGTGCAACAATAGCTCATGTTATTTCTTTTGGTTCTGTTTTTACATTTTATTCTCTTTTCATTTGGGTGTGTTCATAGTGGTACAGAATTATGAGAAAATTGTTGAGTCCGGCCCAATTACGGTGGGTTTGGACTAATAAGGATCAAAGGCCCATTATCTTTTCATAAAGAAAAAATAAATAAAAAAAATATATATTGCTTTTAAACCTACCTGTGCATAGAGACAGAAGAAGAAGGACATAAACAAGTTAAAACACATCTCCGTTTTTTCATTGCCGCAACTGCACTGCGCAGTCCCAGAAAATCGCCGATTCCCGGCGATTGTACCGTTGGATCGTCACCAAATTTTGACAGCAGGTTCAGGACTTCTTACTCTTCGTTTTGAACGGTGGAGATCGGATTTTGAGCACGTTTGGGCTGCCTGTTTTGTGTGTAACGTGAAGGGGCAGATTTTGTATTTTTGTTGATTTGTTTCTTGTGGTTAGCCAAGATCTTGTGTTGTGATCTTGATGAATGTTATTTGCCTCTAGTCTGGTGATCTAGAGAGGATTTCATTTGTATCCATTATCGGATTGATATAGTGGATGATTTATGCGGCCTAAGGGTCCCGTGGTTTTTACCCAATTTAGGGTTTTCCACGCTAAAAATTTTGTGTCATTTTATTGCTTGCTTGATCATCATTTGCTTGCTATAGCTTGTGGTTATTGTTGTTGTTGATTGGACTTCGTTCTTACTATTCGGTTAAAGTCATTGTTGTATTTGGTGACTTTAACCCCAACAAAGTGGTATCAGAGTCCGGGTGGTTCGTGTACCTTGTCCAAATCATGGAGACTAACACAAGCTGGATGGTTACCTTGAATGGGTCCAATTACCATGTGTGGAAAGGGAAGATGGAAGATTTCCTGTATGTGAATGATTATTATTTGCTCGTGCTTACTGATGAGAAGCCATTGGATAAAACCGATAAAGAATGGGAGCTTTGTCACCGTCAGGTGTGTGGCTACATTAGGCAATGGGTAGATGAAATGTTCTCAACCACGTTAGTGAAGAAAAGCATGCACGGACCTTGTGGAATAAACTCGAAGAGTTGTATGCGCGAAAAACCGGGAACAACAAGTTGTTTTTGATCAAGAAGATGATGGCTTTGAAGTACCAAGATGGAAAGACTATGTCAGACCACTTGAACACATTCCAAGGAATCATTAATCAGCTGGCTGGAATGAATATCAAATTTGATGATGAAATACAAGGGTTGTGGCTTCTTGGTACTTTATCGGACTCGTGGGAGACGTTCAGAACGTCTTTGTCTAACTCAGCCCCGAATGGAATCTGCTCCAAGGATATGGTGAAGAAATGAGAAGAAAATCACAGGGTTCTTCTTCGCAGACGGATGTCTTAGTCGTTGAAAGGCGGGGGAGAAGTAAAAGCAAGGGTCCGAATGATAGAAATAGAAATCGAAATAAAAGCAAATCTGGGAGGTACACCAACCTTGAGTGTGTCACCATTGTGGCAAAAAGGGACACATCAAGAGGTATTGCAGAAAGTTCCTCAAGGAGAATCCCAATGGCAAAGGCAAAGAAAAAAGGCTGGAGATGGTGAAGACGGTGAGAAGGTAGCGGCTCATTTATGAAGGCGATGCAGTCAATCTCGCTTGCCAGGAGACTAGTTGGGTGATCGATAGCAGTGCTTCGATTCATGTCACATCGCCGAAGGGATTTCTTCAGGTCCTATACTCCCGGTGACTTCGGAAGTGTTAGGATGGAAAATGATGGTATTGCTAAGACAATTGGCATGGGAGACGTGCACTTGGAGACTGAGAATGGCAACACCTTAGTTTTGAGAGGTGTGAAGCATGTTCCCAACATTCGCATGAATTTGATATCTACCAGCAAGCTCGATGATGAAGGGTTTTGTAATACCTTTCGAGACAGAAAGTGAAAACTCACGAAAGGATCCTTGATTGTGGCGAGAGGGCAGAATTGTTCCTCATTGTACGTGATGAACGTGAAGATTGCGGATCCTATGATAAATGTAGTGGATGATGAACGCATTGTAGAACTTTGGCACGACCGACTTAGCCACATGAGCGAGAAGGGCTTGACAGTGTTGTCCAAGAAGATCTCCTCCCAGGTGTGCAAACGGGTTTTCTAAAGAAGTGTGCTCATTGCTTGGCAGGGAAGCAAACAAGAGTTGCCTTCAAGAGAGTTCCCCACCCACGCAAAATGAGTATTTTGTATATGGTGCACTCTTATGTATGTGGTCTAATGAAGACGAGAACACTTGGTGGTGTCTTGTACTTTGTGACTTTTATTGACGATCATTCAAGGAAGATTTGGGTGTATATGTTTAAGTCAAAAGATCAAGTTGTAGACGTCTTTAAGCAGTTTCACACTCGTGTGGAACGAGAAACAGGTGTGAAGCTTAAGTGCATCCGAACAGATAATGGGAGTTAATACTGCGGCCCTTTTGATGAGTATTGTAGGCAGCAGGGTATTCGACACCAAAAGACACCTCCGAAGACTCCTCAGATGAATGGGTTAGCTGAGAGGACGAACCGGACACTAGTTGAGAGGGTGAGATGCTTGCTTTCGCAGTCACAGTTATCGAGGTCCTTCTGAGGTGAAGCCTTGAGTACAGTGGTGCATGTTTTGAATCTTACTCCGTGTGTTCCATTGAATTTCGAGGTTCCAGACAAGATGTGGTCGGGAAAGGAAGTTTTGTACGATCACTTATGTGTTTTTGGATGCAAGGAGTTTGTTCATATTCCGAAAGATGAAAGGTCGAAGCTCGACATGAAAACAAGACCATGTGTGTTCGTCGATTATGGCCTTGATGAGTTTGGATACAGGTTCTATGACCCAGTGCAGAAAAAGCCTGTAAGAAGTCGAGATGCGGTGTTCGTAGAAGACCAGAGTATAAAAGACATCGATAAAGCCAAGATGACAGAGAAGTACAGCGATGATCTGGTTGATTTAGATCCAGTCCCTATACATACTGTGTATCCTGATCAAGGGGGAGCGGTGTTGGGATCTGTGAGGATCTCGTTATGTACAAATCACGAATTCAATAGCAAACGTAAACCTATGCGCAGCGGATCTAAAGGTTTGACGTAGAGAACTTACGGCTTAAAATTTATGTAGATCTGGTTGACCACGAACGGTTGACCGCAATTGATTGACCGCAACACGCGTCTTGGGTTGCACGAACAAGATCAGATCAAAACTGGATCAAACGGATGCAAACAGATCAAAACGAAATTTTGCTGCCAGAC